GGAGCTGCAGCTGTCAATAGTGCCGCCATGTTTAAATGGCATATATCCCCACATCAAGTAAAGGTAATGGCATGGGCAAATAAATGGCCAGTTTTATGATAATTTTGGTTGGAAAATTTAATAGTTATGTTCTACAAGCTTTACAATAGCAAATGCATAAGAAAAGTATCAACTCATCTTAATGGGCATATGATGTAATTGGTGCCAACAGCAACAGAGACAGGGAGGAGCAAAATAGGAATAAAATTTTTGTATGTTATTGTTGTATGTTACTTGTTGGTATCAACTATGCTCTTGTAAATGTAAGGTGTTAAACGTAACTTTTATGGTAACCACAGAGAAAATGTCTAAAAAATGTACACAGAAGGTAAGAAGGAAATCAAAAGTTTCAATAAAAAGGCAACAAAACACAAATAATGATAAAATTGCATGAAATGAGGGACAAAAAAATATAGATACACAAAAAAATTAGCAAAACGACAGTGGTAAGCCCCTTGTTAACAATAATTACCTTAAATGTAAATGGATTAAATGCTCCAAGAAAAAGGCAGAGAGTGACATAATGGATAAAAAAACAAAACTATGATCTATCCATATGCTGTCTACAAGAGATGCATCTTAGGCCCAAGGACACAAGCAGACTGAAAGTGAAAGGACAGAAAAGAATAATCCATGCAAATAATAACCAGAAAAGAACAGGTATGACCATATCGATATTAGACAAAATAGATTTTAACTCAAAATCTATTATAAGAGATGAAGAAGGATATTATATGATGACAAAAGGGTCAGTTCATCAAGAAGATATAAAAATTATTCATATATATGCACCTAACATCAGATCAAGGAGCTCTGGTGGCGCAGTGATTAAAATGCTTGGCTGCTAACTGAAAGATCGATAGTTTGAATCTACCAGTAGTTCTGCAGCAGAAAGATGTGGCAGTCTGCTTTTGTAAAGATTTACAGCCTTGGAAACCCTAAGGGGAAGTTTTACTCTGTCTTATAGGGTTGCTATGAGTTGGAATTGACTTGAGGGCAGTGGGTTTTTGTTTTAACATCACAACTCTCAAAATATATGAAACAAACACTGACAGAACTGAAGGGAGTAAAATCCAGCTCTACAATAATAGTTGGGAACTTCAATAGCCACTTTTATCATTGGACAGATTATCTAGAAAGAAGAGTAGTAAAGAAATAGAAGATTTGAACAACACTATAAGCCAATTAGATGTAACACATATGTATATAAAGAATACTCCATCCAACAACAGAAAAATAGACATTCTTCTCCAGTGCACACTGGTCATTCTCCAGGATAGACCATATGCTAAGTCACAAAAGAATTCTCAATAAATTTAAAAATATTGAAATTATACCAAGTATCTTCTCCGACCACAAGGGAATGATACTAGAAAATTAATAACAGAAGGAAAACTGAAACACACATAAATACATGGAAATTAAATAATACACTATTAAACAACCAATGGGTCAACGAAGAATCAAGAGAGAAATCAAAAAAAGAAAAAAACGAAAATGAAAACACAACATACCAAAAACTATAGGATGCAGCAAAGGCAGTATCAGAGGGAAATTTTTAACAATAAACACCTACATTTAAAAAGAAGATTCCAAAGCGATAGCCTAACTCTATAATTTGAGAACTGATTATTTCTACCTATATACCAACTACTAAAAATGACCTCAGAAGAAATAGAAAACTACAGCAGTCACAATTTCCATAGAAGAAATAGAGAAACAAAGATTTAATCCAAAATAAAATAAAATAATAAAATTAAATAAGGCCCTGATACCAGATGGTTTTACAGGGGGTATTCTATTGACTTTTTAAAGAGCAGAATACAACAGTGGTGTTTAAATGTTCAGATTATAGAAAAATTAAGAAAACTTTTCACAGAAAATTTAAGAAAACTGAATAACAAACAAAAATTCCAATCTTACTTCTCCATATTGATGTATAATTCTTAAAAAATGATTAGAAATCTAACATCCTACTAATAGAATAATATCTTATGAACAACTGGAATTCATTCCAGGATCCAAGGATGGATTAACATTAGAAAATTTATATGAATTTTTCCTATTAATAGATCTAAGGAAAAAATACTATATGACCTTCTCTATAGAAGGTGAAAAAGCATTCAACAAAATTTAGTATCTATTCTTAAAAACACTCAAAAATGAAAATACATGGCTAATTTCTTGACATGATTCATCTACTAAGAAATATATCTTGGACATATATAATGTCCTAGATTGAACGTAAACAATTCTCATAGGCTCTAAACCATAATTAGACAAGGCAACTCCTTGACTGTAGTGGGACAACACAGAAGGAATCACTCCATGACTATGTCTGAAACAAGACAGAGACAAAGATATTCTGCAATTACAACAATAACTAAACTACTTTCTCTTTGATTAACGTCAGTGACTACTGCTTTCACTTTTCCAATAACATCTTTAGCTTTGCTTTAATCTTCCTGCCTCATAGGTAAAAATGCCAATAATCACCAAATTTCCCCTACTTCCTAAAATAGCCTTCAATCCAGAATGGGTCTCTACTTCTAATACCCAGCACTAGTCCAAATGCTGTAATAAGCTCCTTGCAATTTTCTTTTACCTAGATTCTAAGTTGTTCCTCTGGTGTGCATTCTCCTATGCTGCAGCAACCTAAAAAAACGTAAATTTGTTTGACCAGAAGTGTGTTTTTAACAGTATTTGGCTAGTGGGCTTTACAATAACTTAGAATCAAGTGGCCATAAGAGAGAAGATGGTTATATTTACTTATGTAAAAGTTTCTTCAGGGTAAAAATAATATGAGCGAAGCCAAGAGACAAACATAAAAAATATTTGCAACTCACATCACAGAAATTAATAACATATGAAAAATTCCCTAATAAAGAAAAACATCAACAATTAAAAATCATGTAAAAGATAGGAATAGACTATTCACAGGAAGGCAAGTATGAGTGGCTCTTGAACATATAAAGTTATGCAATATCACTCATAATAACAGAATAATTAATTAAAACTATTCTGACAGACCATTTTTTAAAAAACATACCAGACTGGCAATAATCCAAGAGACTGATCACACACTCTTGTTGTGATCAGTATAGGGGAACAGGAAATCTTGTACATTGCTAGTGTAGTGCAAATTTATACAACCACATATGGAAAACAATTTTGCAAGGTCCAGAAGACTGTGTATAGTATGCTTCCTTTTGCATAATATGGGGAAAATATATTTATACTTGATTGTATATACATAAAAAATGTAGATTGATCATAGTGGTTACATTTTTGTGTGGGCTTGGGAAGGAATGAAGCAAAGGTGGGTAGAAGAGGGAATGAGACTTGCTACTTGTGTACCTTTTTATATTGTTTTGACTTACGATCCATGTGAATGTATTCCCTCTTTCCTCTGCTCCTGTTCTATATATTTAAAACTTCTTTTACTGCCTCTTTCAACTTATATAAATATGATCAAGTTTATCAAAATTACAACTCTTGCATTGTCATTTCCTCAGACTCTGAGTATAACCCACCCCGCTTGATTCACGGCTACATTTCTTTAAAGTTTGATCCGTACTCATTGTTTCCCATTCTCATTTGTCTATTTGTTATCCCTCGGTATACAGGCTTCAGTGATGTTCAGTGAATACTGCTCAAACTGATATTGCCTGATACCTCTTTTTAATTTCCTTCTTGAAACATTTTCATCTCATTCCTCATATAGTGTGATACAACTGTACCCAGGTTTTCCTCCTAACTCTTCTACTCAACCTTCCCATTTTTCTCCAGTTATTCTTCCTCTCCATGTATTAGAAATGTCGATAATCCTCAGGATTCAGTCGATATCTTTCTTCTCTTATTATACACACTCTTGATAGGTTACCTCATCTACTTCCGCAGTTTGAATTTCACCTGTGCTTTGATGAGTTCCAAATTCATTTATATCAGTTCTCTATCATACATAACATCTATCTATCAGGTGTTCTCCCATTTGGATATGTCACAGACACCATAAGCTCAATATATCCTCCTCCAAATATGCATCCCCCTGTATTTACTATCTTGGTGAATGGAACTTTCATCCACTGACTAGCTCAAGATAGAAACCTGGGCGATAACTTGTTAGCTGTCATTGAGTCAGCTCTGACTCATGGCAACTTTGTCTAACAGAACCAAACGTTGTTCAGTCCTGTACCATCTTCATGATCACTGGTATGTTTGAGTCCACTCTTGTGACTATTGTGTCAATTCATCTCATTGAGGTTTTCCCTCATTTTTGTTGACCCTCTACCTGACCAAACGTGACTTCTTTACAGGAGATATCTTAGGCTCCTTTTCATCCATTATAAGCCACATCCAAATGGAGCACTACTTCCTGTCAATTCTACTATCTTATTATCTTTCATGACTGCTTCTAATTGCTGCTTTATTTCAACCCTTATGTCATTCCCCTGGTGGCACAATGGTTAACAGCTCACTTGCTAACCAAAATGTTGGCAGTTCAAATCCACCAGCTGCTCCCTGAAAACCCTATGGAGCAATTCTACTCTGTCCTATAGGGTTGCTATGAGTCCGAATTCACTCAATGGCAACAGGTATGCCATGCCAGGTTAAATACAGTAACTGCTCTCCTATTTCCAGTTTGACCCCTTTGCAGATACTCATACTTTGCTTCAGCCAGAAAAAAATATTTGTCTTTCCCTAAACTCAGTATCTTATCAGGCCTATCACTGTCCCTTGAGTCTGTTACTTTTAAGAATATATATATATATATATATTTGTTAGATGTTGTTGAGTCAGTTCTGACTCATAGTGACCCTATGTACTACAGAATGAAATGCTGCTTGGTCCTGCACCATCCTCACAATTGTTGCTATAGACTTCACGTCCATGTCTTCACCCATTTCCCTGGTTAACTGCCTCCCTCAGGGTACCAAGTCAGTGAACAGGATCAGAAATACCTGTCTGGCATTTCCCGTGATGTTAATGCCATCAATTAACGCAACTCCAGAGGTTATGGACTCTTCTCCAATCAACATTTTGAAGATAGTAGTTTTTCCAGCTCCATTTAATCCAAGTAATCCAAAGCACTCGAACTTTTCGACTACAAGGGAAATATTTCTCACAGCCTTTATGACCGGACACTTAAAATAAATCTGAGAAAAAAACAACACACAATGTACTGAAGCACTGGTTATGGATCAACCACAAACATAACCTCAGACCCTTATGGACCACTGCCTGGGGACAGTTTCACAAGAGGTCTTCCCCCTTCAGATCTCTATTTCATTGGGAGAATATATATGTACATATATATCCCATAAAAGTGCAATTAGTAATCTCACTAATAAGTTCTTAACAGGGAAGGTGGGCTAAAGCTCTGAGCAATGTTCGTCATTAAATAACTTTACCTTTGTAAGTTTTTTAAGAATCAGTGCAGTATTCTGCAACTTAGGCTGAGATAGTGCCAGAACTTTCTTCCTTTCATTTCTTATATCTTCATCCTCAGATTCCTCGATTACTCGGCCAGACACTACAGCCTGTATTTTTAAGACAAGGGTCATAGAAGTGGATACTCCTTAGATATTGGATATCTCGTTTAGACTTAGTGGCTTAAGGAAAACTGACTTGAAGGGGTAATCTCAAAGATGACAGAGAAAGTTTGAGTAATGTCTAAGAGACTTTCTAACAATTGCCTCAACTCTCATGCACAAATATATATATTTTTTACGCTTTATTCACTCATGCTAATCACTAAATCACAAGAACACTGCCTGTAAATTACACTGTCGTAATATTACACTGTTAGACTTATTCTTGACTTTCTTAGTTTTGGAAACTAGTCACAAAACAAACTAGTTATGAGTAAGCAGACTGTTCTTGCCAATAAAATGGATACTTCATGGAAAAAAGAAGCTACATTGATACTATGAATTATAATTTTGTGTTATGGATACAACTAAAGTACATTCAAGAAATCATAAGATCCAAGAGGAAAGAAGAATGAACTCTTTTTTGAGGGAGGGTCTTTCCATGGGTGAAATATGAGCTTAGTTTTAAAGAATAAGCAAGAATTTATTGAGAGAATGAAGGTAGGGAAGAGATGGAAAAAAGTCTGCCAGCAGTGGGAGCTCAGTGAAAGATATGGAGGAATAAAACAATATCGCATGTTTTATTTTCTTCTTGAGTTTTGGTAGCTTGCATCCTTCTAGGAATTGTTTCATTTCATCTAAGGTGTCAATTTACAAGAACAGTGGATTGTAATCTCTGTGGGATATGTAGTGAAATCTCTTTTATTGTGCTTTTTAAGGAAAAGTCTACAGTTCAAGTTAGTTTCTCATATAAAAATTTATAACCACACCGTTATATGACCCTAGCTGCTCTCGCTATAATGTGACAGCACACTCCTCCTTTCCACCCCGGATTCTCCTGTGTCCATTCAACCAGCTCCTGTCCCTTTCTGCCTTCTCATCTCGCCTCAGGACAGGAGTTGCCCATTTAGTCTCATGTATCTACTTGAACTAAGAGGCACACTCTTCACGAGTATCATTTTATGTCTTATAGTCCAGTCTAACCTTAGCCTGAAGAGTTGGCTTTGGGAATGGTTTTAGTTCTGGGTTAACAGAGTCCAGGAGCCATGTCTTCTGGGGTTCTTCCAGTCTTAGTCAGACCATTAAGTCTGGTCTTTTTACTAGAATTTGAGTTCTGCACCCCACTTTTCTCCTGCTCCATCAGGGACTCTCTCTTGTGTTCTGTTAGGGTAGTCATTGGTAGTAGTCGGACACCATCTAGTTCTTCTGGTCTCAGGCTGATGGAAGTCTCTGGTTTATGTGGCCCTTTCTGTCTCTTGGGCTAGTATTTTCCTCGTGTCTTTGGTGTTCTTCATTCTCCTTTGCACCAGGTGGGTTGGGACCAATTGATGGATCTTAGATGGCTGCTCGCTAGCTTTTAAGACCCCAGATGCCACTCACCAAAGTGGGGAAATACCCTCTTTTTATCTTGATTGGTAATTTGTGTCTTCTCTCTTTATCTCCTGGCCACTCTGGCTAGTCATCTTTCAAAGAATACAGGTAGTCCTTGACTTATAATGGGGTTCTGTTCCAGTGTTGGTTCTGATGTAAGTTGAATACCTCATTTTTTGTTTTCATTGTCTTTTATTATCAGTATCTTTTTATAAATCATAACAAGGAACATCTGTGAGTGAACATCTGAGAATGATAACATCAGCTAATTACACACTGCAATGCTGTATGCAGTACATATTACTAACGATAAGACTTAAAAAAAAAAAGATGGTTGTTAATTATGGCTCCTCTTAACTGGAATACAACGTAAGTCAGGAGTCAGGGACTACCTGTAGTAACTTTCAAAGGATAAACTTTTGGGTGCATTCACTGATTTTTCTCTATTGCTTTTCTGTTTGAAATTGACTTCTGTTCTTTTTTTTACTTCTGCTTGCTCTGAGTGTATTTTGCTCTTATTGAGGTGAAAGCTTCAATTATTGACTTGAAACCTTTATTTCTAACATAAGAATTTAATGCTATAACTTTCCCTCAAAGCACTGCTTTAGATACAATCTACAAATTATTAATATATTGTGCTTTTTTATTCAAGATATTTTCTAATTTCCCTTGCAATTCCTTTTATAAAGAAGTGTGCCACTTCATTTCCCAGTGTTTAGAGATTTTCCTGTTATATTTGTTATTTTTCTAATATAATTTCATAATAATCACAAGACATAGTGTATTATTTCAATTCTCTTCTATAACTGTGGATGGGCAAATGCTGTTTTGGAGAGAGGCCTCTATATTTTCTTCATCTGAGGAGAGACTGCCAACTCTTAATAGAAAGGAGTTGCCTACTTCCATAGACTCAAAGGGTTCAAAGGAATTTGGGCAATTAAAATTTTGGGTCCTCAACTCAGATGTCCTCATCCCACGTATCAGAGTCCCACAGCCGACCTGCCTTGGTTGAGAGTTTGTCCTTTGTTGGAGCTCCTCTAATCTGAAAATTAGGCTCCGACTCTAGTCTTCTTTTTCTGCCATCCCACTGCAGGAAATGAGATACTCATTGTATGCTACCAAAGAGGCCCTTTCACTTTCACTCTTGACTTTCAATCTCCTAATCACTCTCAGCTTTTTACTATCTTTTTACAAAACTTAGCAATAGCCAATAACTCCATTGCCTTTATAGTTAGTTGCTAGTTCTTCCATATGTCTTAAATACTTGATATATTGCATCAGTTAGTACATTGTCTTCTACTAGTATACATCCCAATTCACCACTGGTGAAAATTTTAACAAGTGGATCACCACCTTGTGCCAGAAGGTATCTTGCCCCCCTTACCACCAGTAATGATGCCCAATGAGCCAGCTGGGCAGTGAATGATCTAGCTTCCAAACCCTGTCTTATTATATCTGCTGTTTTAGACTTCTCTGATACCAACATTTTCAGGTGGAGTTCCCTGAGAAGCAGATTCAGGGATACAATTTAGAGTGTAAGATGTTTATTAAGGGATGGCCTCAGGACCAACACCTGTGGAAAGGAGAGGAAGGAAGTAGTAACAGGCAGAGGGAGAAGTCAAGCTGTGATGGGGGTCAAATGACAGCCTCAACCAACTCCTTGGGAAGCTCTGCAGTTGTTGGGATGGGATTGAGATGACTAAGCCTTTTACTCCTGCATTAATGAGTCATTTAGATGTGGGCTGCTCTGTTAAGGGATGTGACCTTGGGAGAGGAGGCTCTCTGTAGCTGAGGCAATCCATGAATAGAAGGAAAGCTAAAGGCTTTCTGAAGATAGCACTACCAGAAGCTGAGAACAAGTCCTACATTGAAGGGGGTTCTGGATAGTGTACTACAGTGTACACTACAGGGGGCATCCAATACGTCTATTTTCTGAGATGTATAAGTAATAGAGGTTGGCATATGTAAATTCATACCTTCTGTCCTAATACTGAGCTTCCTTTGGGTTGCATCTAAAGTCCACGTTAGTTACTCACCTTGTTGGATTTCTTGAATATCTTGGAGACATTAGGAATAATTTTATTAAAGATAAGGACTTTCAGTTTCCAGAATGAAGAGTCCAGAAATAAAATCAAGAGGAGATAAAATAAGCCCATGGCAGCCAATGTAATCAAAAATTTTGCAATCCCATCTTCTTCAAAAGTATAGATACTGTTCTTACTAACTGAGGATAATAAAAGAGATAGCCTTGCTTTAAAAACTGATGCAATGTCTAACACTAAATATGAAGAAATACAAGTTCAAAATGGAACTTAAGATTTAGATAATTATAGAATATGGAAAATTAACAATTATGTTGATATCTTACTTTTTCTTATTTGACCTTCCCTGATGTTTACAGTTATTCTAAAGGTTATTCTGTCACTGATTTTCCCTCTAGTTTTTGCCAGTTATTGATAAAATAAAACCTTCCCATATATTCAACGAATTTCAAAGGCTGAGAACTTTTGAATAGAATGTGTAGTATTCAAATAAAGCCTAGAAAATAAAAGCATTTGTGGTATATCTAGCCATTATTGTAGGGATGCAAAATATCTTTACAGTCCTGAAGTGAAATAAAATCTTTTGTTCCATATTTAGGAAGTGTTCTAATATGGAAATACTCATAAGGAAAAGAACGTGTCTAATATGTAAACAGGCAATAGCTGATAGTTTCTGACCCTACTACAGAGAAATTTAGCCAATATAAACAGCTGAATTTCTAATAATAGGAAGTGTCTCTGAGATGTGAAAATGATACAAAAATCCTAAGAATTATATTTTCTGAATGATTTGTGCCAGTGTATAGAAATGCAACTCATTTATTTGGTTTATTGTGGTAAAATACACATAACATAAAATTTACCATTTAAATCATTTTAAAGAGTACAATTCAGTGGCTTTAGTACATTCATAATGTTGTGCAACCATTACCACTGCCTAGATCCAGAACATTTTCATTACCCCAAAAAGAAAACCCGTACCAACTTAGCAATCACTCCCATTGCTCCTTCCCTCCCAGGAAGGCACTAATCTACCTTCCATTACTATGGATTTGTCTATTCTGGATAGTTCATAAATAAAACCATACACAATAAATCTGGCTTCTTTCACTTAGCATGTTTTCAAGGTTCAAACATGTTGCAGTATGTATCAGTACTTTCTTTTTGTGGCTGGATAATATTCCATTGTATAGATTATACCACATTTTGTTTATCCTTTCATCAACTGATGGACATTTATTTCCATATTTTGGCCATTGTAAGCAGTGCTGCTATGAACATTTCTGTACAAGTTTTTTTTTGGAACACCTGTTTTCAATTTTTTGGGGGGTATATACTTAGGAGTGGAATTGCTGGGTCATATGGTAATTCTATATTTAACTTACTGAGGAACAACCAATCTGTTTTCCATGGTGGCTGCATCATTGAACACTCCCAGCAGGAATGTATGAGCGTTCCAATTCATCCAAATCTTCCCCAAACTTATTTTTTTCCTCTTCCTTTATAACCATCCTAGTGAGCATTGAGTGATATTGTGGTTTTAATTTGCATTTCCCTAATGACTAATAATGTTGAGCATCTTTTCGTGTGCATGTTGGCCATTTTTACATCTTTGGAGAAATGTCTAGTCTTTTGCTCATCTTTAAATTGTTTTTGTTTTTTGCCTTTTTGTTGAGTTGTAAGAGTTGTTTATATATTCTAGAATTCAGGCCCTTACCAGAGATACGATTTGCAAATTTTTTCTTCCATTCTGTGGGTTGTCTGTTCACTCTCGTTAGTGTTATTTGATACCCAAAGATTTTCATTTTGATCAAGTTCAATATATCTATATTTTCTCTCACTACTTACGCTTTTTGTGTCATATCTGGGAAATCATTGACAAATTCAAGGTCATGAAGATTTACCCCTAGGCTTCCTTCTAAAAGTTTTACAGTTTTACTGCTTATATTTAGGTCTTTGATCCATTGACTTTAACTTTTCTATATAGTGTGAGGTAGGGGTCCAACTTCATTTTTTTTGCATGTGACTATCCAGTTGTCCCTCCATCATTTGCTGAAGAGACTATTCTTTCCCATCAATGGTCTTGGTACTCTGGTTGACTAACACAGATATAAGTTTTGTTTTGTTTTTCCTGAACCCTTTATTCTGTATTATTGGTCTCTATTTTATCTTTACAGTCAATACCATACTGTTTTGATTACACTGTAGCTTTGTTGAAAGTTTTGAAAAGGGAAGCTTGAGTCCTCCAAATTTGTCCTTTTTCAAAAATTGTTTTGGCTATTGGAGGCCCCTTATAAATACATGTGAATTTTAGGATCAGCTTTTCTATTTCTTTAAAAACATCGAGTTTGATATGGATTGCAGCGCACCTGTAGATCACTTTGCAGAGTACTGCCATGTGAACAATATTAAATCTTCCAAAGCATGAACATGCGATGTCTTTCCATTTACTTAGGTCTTTTTTAATATCTTTCAGCAATGTTTTGCCACTTTGCAGTGTACAAAACGTGCACTTTCTTGGTAAATTTATTTCTAAGTATTTTATTATTTTTGATGCTTTTGTAAATTGAATTTTTCCTTTTCTTTTCAGATTGTTCATTGCTGACATATAGAAATACAACTGATCTTTATATGTTGATCTTGTATACTGAAACTTTCCTTATTAGCGCCAAGAGCTTTTTCTGTGGATTTTTCAGGACCTTCTATATATAAAATCATGTCATCTCTGCATAGAGATAGTTTTACTTCTTCCTCTGTAAATTGGGTATCTTTTCTTTTTCTCGGTTAAATTTCTCTGGCTAGATCTTCCAGTACAATGTTGAACAGCAGCAGTGAAAGGGAAATTCTTGTCTTTTTCCTGATTTTAGAAAATATTTCTTTCCCCATTGAATATGGTGTTAGCTGTGGGTTTTTCGTAAGTACCCCTTACTCTGTTGAGGAATTTCCCTTTTATTTCTGGTTTGTTGAGTGCTTTAATCATGAAATGTTGATGGATTTTGCAAAGAATTTTTCTGCAACAGTAGAGATTATCACTTTTTCCTCTTTTATCCTAATAATGTAGTATACTACAGTGATTCCCATATATTGGATCACCCTTACATTTCTGGGGTAAATCCTACATTGTTATAGTGTATAATTCTTCTACGCTGCTAGATTTGGTTTGCTAATATTTTATGGAGGATATCTGCATCTATATTCATAAGGAATATTGGTCTGTGGGTTTCTTGTCATGTCTTTCTCTGACTTTGGTATCAGGTAAGTTGGCCTTATAAAAAGAGTTAGAATGTGTTCCCTTTTCAATTTCTTTGAAACTTATGAAATGATCAGTGCTAATTCTACCAAACATTTTCTTTCAATGTTTGGTAGAATTTGCCAGTGAAGCTATCTGGGCCTGAATTTTTCTTTGTAGGAGGTTTTTATTATTGATGCAATCTCTTTGTTATAGGTCTATTCAAATTTTTTATTTCTTCTTCAGTCAGCTTCAGTAGTCTGTGTGTTTCTAGGATTTTCTCCATTTTGTCTAGATTATCTAATTTATCAGTGTACAATTGTTCCTACTATTCTTTTTTATTTCTGTAAGGTTAGTATTGATGTTCACACTTCATTTCTGATTTTAGAAATTTGCATCTTCCCTTTTTTCTTAGTCAGTCTAGATAAAGATTTGTCAGTTTTGTTGATCTTCTTAAGTAACCAACTTTTAGTTTTGTTAATTCTCTATTATTTTTCTAGTCTCTATTTCAGAATAGAAAAATGGCTCTTTCAGAGCTGTTTATCTCAGGTCTAATATTTATTATTTCTTTCCTTCTGTTAGTTTGTTCTTCATTTTCTAGTTCCTTAAGGTGTAAAGTTAGGTTATTGATTCAAGATTTTTCTTCTTTCTCAGTGTAGTCATTTGCACCTATAAATTTCCCTCTGAGCACTGCTTTCACTGCAGTCCATAAGTTTTAGTATATTTTGTTTCATTTTCATTCATCTCAAAATGTTTTCTAATTTACTTTGTGATTTATTTTTTGACCCATTGGTTTTTTTTTTTTTTAAATTAGCACTTATGTGACTTTCCCAGTTTTCCTTCTATTATTACTTTCATTCACCTGCTTCATTTCCACTGTTGTTGGAGAGCATACCTTGTATTATTTCAGTCCTTTTGAGTTTATTTATACTTGTTGTATGGCTTAAAATATGGTCTATCCTGTAGAATGTTCCATGTGCACTTGAGTAAAATGTGTGAGTGGAGTGCTCTGTGTATGCCTGTTAGGTTTCATTAGTCTACAATATTACTCCAATCCTCTGTTTCCTTATTGCTCTTTGATATAGTTGTTCTACTCATTATTGAAAGTAGGTACTGAAATCTCAAACTTTACTGTTAAGCCATCTATTCATCCTGTCAATGTTTGCTTCATATATTTTGGGGCTCTGTTGTTAGAAGCATGTATGTTTACAACTGTGGCTCCTTGATGGATTGACTCTTTTATCATTATGTCCTTCTTTATTTCTTGTAATAAATTCTGACTTATTTAAGTCTATATTGTCTGATATTAGCATAGCCTAGGTCTCTTGTGGTTACTATCTGCATGAAGTATCTTTCTCCATTCTTTACCTTTCAATCTATTTGTGTCTTTGGATGTAAAATGCGTCTCTTATAAACAGCATATAGTTAGATCATTTTTAAAAACTCATTTCGCCAATCCTTGCCTTTTGATTGGGGAGCACTGCATTTACATTTAATGTAATTACTGATATAGAAGGACTTATTTCTGCTATTTTGCTATTTGTTTTCCATATGTCATATCTTTTTTATTTTTTAATTCTTCCATTACTGCCTTCTTTTGATTTTTTCTATTGTACTCTTTTTATTCTCCTCTCATTTCCTTTTACGTATACTTTAAAGTTATTTTCTTAGGAAAATACCGAGGAGATTATAATTGATATTCTAAATATATAATAATCTTGTTCAAATTGATACCAACTTAGCTTCAATAATATACAAAAATTCCCTCCTTTTCTTGTTATTGCCACAAATTCCATCTTTATACTTTTCATGTTCATTAACTTTGCTTCATAATTATTATTTTATGTATTTGTCTTTTAAATCATATAGGAAAAATAAGAGAAGTTCCAAATCAAAAATATAATAATACTAGCTTGTATATTTGTTGTTACTTTAATCAATGTTCTTTATTTC